TGCACTCCCTGTGGGCAGGTCCCTCATGGCCCATCCATGGATTCCCCCCCCCCACTGACCAGGGCGGCGCCCCCGGAAGGTACCTGCTCGTACAGTACGGGAAACGTGGATGCGGCTCGGCGGCGGCGGCCCAACGGGTGGCCAGGCCGCTACGGCGCGGGCTCGGCTGCCTAATGCAGGGCCGCCGGGGGCGCTACCAAAGCCACAGCGAAACGGGTGGGCGGTGCAACGCCTGGCCGCCTACCGGGGTTCCCACTGTGTGGGTGCAGCCCGTGTGCCCGCATGGCCGCCCAGGTGGTCTGGTGGGGCGCAGCGCTGGGGGGGCCGGGCGGGTCTCTCCAGTGTGGGCTGCTGGTGCGAGATGTGCCAACCATGCAGGAAGGGGCGGACGGAAAAGCATGTCGACGCATGCGGACGAACGACGTACGATGGAGGCGAGTTCGCATGCAGACCAAATACTACGAAAAATCAGCGCAGCTGAAGGGAGCCGAGGGCTTGTTGTATGGCTGGCCAATCAACCCTGGGTGATGCGAATGGGGAGGCCGCTCGAAGTGAGCGATTGGGAGGGCAGCTTGCGCTGACGGGCCTGGTGTAAGTGGTCTACGACGAGCGCTACGACTACGTCTTTGGCAACGACGCGAGGGCTGCCACGCGGAGAGGAGCAGGAACGCGGCCTGCAAAGAAAAGAACGGATCGAAGAGTACTTGCAGAAGAGCGTTTAAACTGTGGAAGCGGGCGCAAAGGCTTGTTGCGAAAATCTGCGAAAAAGGGTACAGCAGTTGGACGCAGCAAACCTGGGCATGGCTGCACTGCCGGCATCCGCGCCTATGGGCATCCGCTGCAGAAGCGTTATTGACTGCGCAAGAAACCCCGACACTACAGAAATGCAATGGCTTGCACACCTCCCCACGTAGGTCATCTTCACGGCGCCGTAGACAAACTGGTTGGCAACAACCCAAGGACCGTCGAGACACAGCGACGGCAGCAACCTCCCACCGCCCTCCGCACTTCGTGATCGGCCGCACATCCAACCACGCCACGCAGACGAAACAAATACGTCCCACTGGTGGCGGATACTGCATAAGCAGTACATACAGCTGAGAAGTACCTCAAGTGCACAATGTTGTATAGTCGTGGTCGCGGCTGCGGCCCCGGCCCGTTGCGCGTCTCCGCCTCGTCCCCTCTCTCGCGGGACGCAAACCGGCGGCCCCATCCCCGGGGGCACGCCTGGCTGGCCATGAGATCCCGTAATACGCGATTATTCATATCGGGGGGGCGCGAGGACGTTCGGTAGCTGCGCCGCGGCGAGGATCGAAAATCAAACGGCGGTCGCGATGCGGTGGAAGCCCGCTGGATGGGAGCGCAAACGCACCGTGGGTCAGGCAGTATTTGCCAGCCCACATCAGCCGCGCGGAAATACTATTGCACGGCAGAATGTGCAAAGAGTTTGAAAGCACTAGAGTCGTGAGGTTTTCGAGAGGGAGAAGGGAACTCTGCGCGGCGTCGTTGCGGCCAGGACGGACAGGACAGGCTGGGTCCGCCCCTCCCAAGTCGTCAGAGCAAGTCGCGGTTCAACAACCCCGTAACTCGGCTGCAACTACGCAACACAAAGATTCCGCAAAGTAAAAAAATAATCACGCAATGAAAAAGTGACAGATCAATTCGTTTTGTTGTAGTCGGAAATGCTTTAAGAAAACACGCCCGCGCTTCCCACCCGCCCAGTGCGCGCACATTATGTGCGTCTGGCGTCCGGATCCGGCGTCCACGCAACAGGACTTGGACTGACGCGCGGACGGAACCGTAACCGCCCGCCCGGCCGCCCGCCCGTCCCATGGCTCACCATGCTGCCGCTCGCCCCAGTGTCCGAACCTTTGCCTCGCCCCCCTATCTGCCGGGGCGCCCGGGAGGACTGGGGGACCGGGGATGGGGACGGCGCCGGGCAAAGGGGATTAGTGACCGCGTGGCGAGGTGACGGCTCGAGGACCGTCGGGGTACTTGTCGCCAGAGGGGAGTGTCTTTATGCTCAGGTATCTTGCGCTCCTCACTGCCTTTCGGGATCCTTCCCCGTTAGAGCAGGAGAGGCCTGCCCGCTTTGGCTCGGGGCGTGGCACGATGGGAGAAGGACTGACTCGGGGGAAAGGGGGTGAGGGCCCAGCGTCCCGACCTCACCGAGCGGACTGGGACTGAGAGTCCCTCACACTCTCGTGGCAGTGGAGGGTCAGCTGGACAGGCCCTGGGGCTGCCTTAGGAGAAGAATGGCGTGTATGGACAGAGCGATGAGGATGATGTGCTACACCGGCGCTGGGAGATGAGCCCGGCGTCCCGGACGATACCCAGCGTGAACTACCGCCACACAGCCGTTACATGTTCACTACGATAGGTATGCCTACCCCAAAAGAGGTCGTCCATCGTGACCACCACTTCCCTCTCTCGTCGTCATCGGCACGTTCGCCCATCCCGTAGACCGTGAGCAACCCGCCACCACGAGCCTCAGCCGCAGGTAGTACAGTCGTAGACAGCAACAACCACAGCAGGACGAACGCCCAATAAACTGCTAGGTGCCCTCCCTATCCTCCTCCTCCTCCTCCGCCAACTCCCCTCACCTGCCACCAGCAACATAGTTCTGCTAGCACACCTCCACCACCCTCTAGGACCGCCCTCCCGCCGCGGGCTGGCGTCTGGTCTGGGGCAGGGCCAGACTCCTCTCGCTGAGGCAGCACGGGGGGAGGAAGCACTTGACTTCCCGCCAACCGCTTCCGCCCGGGCCGGCCAGCGGCAGGTGGCTGGCTCCAACTACTGCTGTACCAAGACGCCTCTGAGCCGCTGTGACGGCGTGGTAGACGTCCTCTCCTCCCTGTTTCCACTTTGGCGGCCCGGGCGGGCTGTGTGCTACACTCAACTCCAGACGGCGCCAACAAAGTATGCCGCCGCACACGTTTGCCTCTCTACGCCATTTGTGAAAAGCCGACCCATCTAGGGAATAGAGCATCACGGGGCCGAGCCACATAAAGGAGAAGACAACAGAGATGGGCTTGGACAAGAAGGGGGGAGGGCGTGGTCCCAGGAAAGTTCTATCATGCCGGCACAGGTCGATATACTGTACTGGAGTCAACTGCGAGAAAGCCGTTTGGTGGCATGACCTGGTATTCACACACGAAACTCGAGCGACTTTTTGATTAGCGCGTATGGCTACTTTTGAGGACTGCCGCTCCACACCCGCAGGGACCTCGCAAAGACACGTGCCGAGCTGGATGCCTCAGGCACCAATTTGGGTCACGTGTGTAAAGACTCCGCTTCAATGTTCTGCGCCGGTCGCGGAGATTCTCCATATCCTCCTCTCTCCTTAGCGGTGACTGTTCAACATGGCCGAGAAAAAGGCAGACGCCCCGGCAGCTGGCATGCTCTGGGGGGGCAGGTTCACAGGTTCGAATGCCTCGGGAAACAAGCTTCGGATGCAGTATACTGACCTCACGGCGCGCAGGTGCGATTGATCCTCTCATGCATAAGTACAATGCCTCCATCCAGTACGACAAGGCTCTGTACAAGGAAGATATCCTTGGATCGATTGCTTTTGCCAGGGCCAACTCAAAGGCTGGCATCATCAGCGAAGATGAATTTCAGGCGATTGAGCGTGGTTTGCTCCAGGTGATGGAAGAATGGAAACAGGGAACTTTCGCTATCATGCCGAATGACGAAGACGTGAGAGGCCACTCAATTCTAGTCAACTTCTCGCGGCTAACACAATGGACCAGATTCATACGGCAAACGAACGTCGCTTGGGAGAGGTCATTGGCAAGGACATCGCGGGTAAGCTGCACACAGGTCGCAGCCGCAACGAGCAAGTTGTCTGTGATATGCGCATGTGGTTACGCGATCGGATCCGCGAAATCGACAGCCAACTCGTCGCGTTCCTCAAGGTCATTGTCACACGTGCCGAATCTGAAATGTAACCCTAGCCCCACCTCTGGCCAAAAGCGGCCCCCTGCTGACTGACAACCTCAGCGACTTCATCATGCCTGGATACACCCATCTCCAGCGTGCTCAGCCAGTTCGGTGGTCTCAATGGCTGATGTCACAT